AAATAGATTGCTTACAAATGCTAAAAATGAAATAAAAAATTGGTAGATTGTTTATATAATAACAAATATATTTTTAAGTTCATAATTTTGAGTATAGACGATTTGTACTGTAAAATTGAAATTGTGCAACTTCACTAACTAATTTTGTCAATGAACTTCAAAAGAAGAAATATGGAAACCGTGCTGTGAAATAATGCCAATTGATGAACAATTTGTATTTACAATATCTAATAATCATAATATCCTTAATGACAATCTAGAATTGGGTAAAAGGGGGATATTACATTCAATTAGATTTGGAGGCAATTGGTTGGATTTTATAGTAATAGCCATTGAATTGAGAATACCAGTTAGGTGCGTAAGCATTAACTTTAAATAGGCCTAGTTGGTTCGATTTTTGAGTTACTAAATGGCAAGTTGGTCTCGTGCATTCCAATTTTTTTTTTGGATTCATAGTAGCAGAGGCAGTAGCTTTATTTTTATTATTAAATTGTTTGTATCTTATTATTGTATTTTACACAATATACTCTAATAAAATAAACTTCAACTTGGGAAAAAAAAAAAGTAAAATTGTGCAATTTCAAACTAATAAATTCTCTAATCCATTGTTGCTTAGGTTCTAAAGATTGCAAAAATAGTGATTTTTTATTTTTTTCCTTAGTAGTTTGAAGTTGCACTTTTTTTTTTGATGTCTTTATATGGTGATTGATCTGCAATGTCCTGTGACTGATAACATAATAATAACGGGGGAAACTTATTCGTAGAGACGATTTCCAAATTTGACTAAAATCATGATTTTAATAATATTTATAGATGAAGAAGGAAAGAGTTGATTTTATATACAGTACATGGAAGAAGAATATTGGAACATAGTTTTTCAAAATACTACATAAAAAAGGCCATTTTGTAGTTTTAGATCCTTATGGTTGTGCATACAAAATTGAGAACTTTTTTAATTTTAAAAACGAAATTTGATTAAATCACATTTAATTATTATTATTATCACATGAAAGTAAACGTCTAAAAAGTTTCCGTTTTAAGGATAGACTCGATCATTATAATAGTTTGATTTGAATTTTTATTTATATTTTATATGGTTGTTGTACACATTAAATTATTTAAATTGTTATAACCATTGCATCCATATAACCTGGATAATATGAAAAAATTTAATATGGCTTATCAAAATTTAATCATATTGATAATAAAATTTTCTTACCTCCATATTTGCTAAATTTTGTGGGTTACTTGCCATTGCTATTAAGTCCGAAATTGAGCTATACATTGACCTATTACCATTCTGATGCCAGAATAGATAAAAACAATATTGGAATGATAAATCAATCAACCAAATCGCAATACACAAAAAGAACTAATCAATTAAATTACCTTATCACAATTACTATCAATATTCCCAATCATCTTTGCCTTATTAACAACTTGATCAACAGTTTCTAAGACTTTCTGTCGAAGCAGTTGATCATTAGGGTGTTTTTGACTTATATAATGCCATGTGATTAACTCATCACGAATAAAAATACTCAAGTATTGGCCTAAATCAAACTATATTATACAAAAAGCTTTAACTTTTAAAAATATAGAAATACAAGTGATTATTCAAAAAAAAATTTTATACCTCTGGTTCAGTCAAGCATCGACCAATAGCAAGCATTGCTAATAATAAAAAGATTGAATAGCTAATTAAAAACAGTACGAAATACCTTGCCAAACAATTAGACATACCTGAAGAAAAAATTCCTTCTATACCAATTGGCGTCATAAATTGTTGTATACTGCGAGTAAACCGGAAAGGAACAGGTTCCTGGTTTTGAAACATTGGAGCTCCTTGTGCAAAACCTAATTAAAAATTTTTAAATTAGATGAAATAAATTGAATACTATTAATAAAAACATAGATGATTTTATAACTTACTCGGAATTAATTCACTGGACCAAATGTTACCAGTATTTCGAGATATCAGAAATTTGTGTGGATGTCTTTGACCAACACAAATTAGATATGTCATAAAAGATACAGATGCCATTTGTGAAGTAAAATGTTTCTTAAATGACCAAAGTTCCTCATGTGATTTGATAGTTTTGGCAATGAACTAAATTATAACAATCATTAGTAATCAATATATTTTTTATATAAATATATAAACATATAATATAATACCTTTGTTAAAACATCATTTGGTATATACTTTGATTGAATATTTCTTGCTATCTCAATTTTGAGATTTATAACATCTTTTCTCTAAGTTAATGAATAATTCAGTACAAATAATTGCATAAATTTACATGCCAAATCAATTATAGTTAAATTTCTTACTGTAGTTGTATGACTTATATTGGATTTCATTTTATTAATAAAATAAATAATGGGCTCATCTTTTGATATCTTGATATCATCACAATGATCTTCATATATATCTTGTAAAGAACAGTATGATGGATCATCCTGCACTATCCTAACTTGTGGAGCAAATGGAATTATTAGAGGAAGATGAAATGATAGATTTCGTTTACGGCTTTCTTTGTGATGTTCGATTACACTTAAAATAATAATATGATGTTGCTTTTAGTAAGAAAGTTTTAAACCTTTAAATAATGCATTTTTAAAAGGTTATTTTACTTACCTATTTAGGATTCTGAAGAGTTGTAACATTCGTTCTTCACGTCGACTATGCCTTGCTGATGGGTACTGAACTGCAAATGGGTGAAGACTACCATCATGTCCTCGTATAGTAAGTCTTCGATAACAAAAACCATGAGATCGAATTATTTCAATTTCTGACATAAAACGATCAATACGAATAAAATCTGAATTATTGTTATCTTTAAGCTACATACATACACACGATCTAATTAGATAACAAACAAGTATAATGTTTACTGTTGACAATTAATTGATTTAAAGCCTACCAATAGATACTGTCCAGGAATTTCTACCTCTTCGAATTTTTGATGCTGAAATTCAACCAAATAGGCACTAAAATATTCTAGATGTTGTTTACGTGGTTTGCTGTCCAATATAACCTCAAACTTGTCTCTCCATCTACGAAGATTTTCAACATATTGTGTGAAATTAGGTTTTCTTTTAATAAAATCTTCTTCAAAGGCAGTCTAATAATATATATATATAATTTAATTTAATTTAGACAGAGCTGTATCAATTTAAATGACCTTAACAAAAATAGGAATAAAAAACCTTTATTGGACCAAGACTTAGATTATCAGCAAATCTTTTGACATTCATTTCAGTAGTGTGTGTAATTGATTCAATGTCATGATTTTGAGTCAATCTATTTGTTATTTGCTATTCACGAGACAAGAATTGGTATTCTTTTAAATTTATAAAAACTTCAAGCACTCATACAGCAATAAAAGTAATAAAATAATACCTGTAAACCGTCATTTAAAAGTGCAACAATCAATCTATAAATATCCTCATCTGAATTTGGCTTAAGACGTTGTTGAATTTGATCAACCATAGTCTCCATTGTTAAAGCCAATAAAGGAAAAGATGTTTTTAAAGTAGACATTATATCTTCAACATGTTCCCATGGTTGCTTTATTATGAGTTGGGGTTGTGGTGTAGTCGCAATATTTGGCAAGGTACGTTGATGATGAATTGGACTCATTCCAGGTGATTGTGTAATAGGCGATCTTCCTGTTTCAGCAACTGTTGGAGTTGTACCTTGCATATTACTTAAAGAATTAGCAGACAGTTTTCCATTAGACAAATAATTAATGTTTTGCATATTTTGTACTGTGATATTGTTGGAAAGAGTTGGAGGCGTTGACATACTTAGAACATTAATTCCTTGTATGGCAGGACTTTGAGGTTGAGAAGACATTTGATTCGATTGATTGGTATTAACTCCAAGAATATTAATTTGAGCAGGAGGACTTCCTTGATTAGAACTACTCTGTCCAACATTTTGTGGGATTGGTTGTTGTACATTTCCAATGTTTGCAATATTAGAACCAATTTGTGATGTTGAAGAAATTACAGGAGTCACTAATTGTGTTGATGATGCTCCTGGATTATTAGCAATAGTTGATGATAGTTGTGCTGCACGAGCTTGTGTTTGAGCAATGGCTACTTGTTTTTTCACCAACAAATATTCTTCTCTTGCTGTTCTTAATTGAAAGTGTAATGCCTAAAAAAAATTGTTACATTCATTAATAACTAATCATTTATTTATTTTCTACAATTGAAGAATATACAACTCACCTGAGGATATTGTTTAGCAATTTTCATAAGGATGCCACGAGCATGTTTTGCCTCTTTATGCATTAGGCATATAATAAGTTGGGGTATGAAAGTTATCCAATACCATACAGGAACTTCTGTTTTATTGAAAAATGTCTCAAAAACAATTGAAATCGTTCCTTGTGCATCATCAAGAGATAAAAGCCATAAGATACGAATTACTAGTTTTCTAGATTTAGCTGAATTATAAAGACTCGCGGCTTGTAAATAACAAGTTAAAGCATATACAGCCAAAACAATTTCATTAGGTTTCTCCTTATATTTGCGATCATTGTAATAACCCCATGCAGCCCAAGCTTTGGCAAGACGCATATCATTTGTTACAGATATAGAAAATGATTCGTTAGCTTCTTGGTCCCGGTTAGACTTAAGATATATCATTCCTCGTAAAGTATGAAATTCTGCCTTTTGTTGTGTGCTGAAAAAGTTTAAATTTGTATTAACTATAACATCTAGAGCTTGATTCATTTCATTATTTTGATAATGGCATTTTGTTTGTTCTCTCAGCTTCAAGAACGCTTCATTAATCTCAATATTTGGCAAAGCATAAATCTTTTGCAAAAATTCTGTACAAACATCATAAAGTTGATGCTTTCTTGCAACATGTGCAAATCGGTTGATAATCCATGCAGTTTCATGATGTCCACGATGATTAGAATTTACTTGTATGTTTTGAAACTGTTCAAATGATTTACTAATAACATTAAAAATATGTTTTCTAAAAGCAACAACATCACTCCAAATGTTAATATCATCCCACATGTTTGGTAATCTTTCTCTCCAACTTGAAAGAACATTTCTAACTTCATTTTGACTATCTGGGCTTTGAACATTACAATTTGATAAATTGGAAAATATTTTAGTTGCTTCATCAAATTCCACCATAAGTTGAAATGAATGCAATAATGGTATATGGCTTTCTGACACAATATTTGGAAGTGTACACCATTTTTGTAGTGCCAACTGATTGGCTTCTCTGATAAACTTTTTATAATCATCAAAATTATGAGTATGATTTGAATTCATTAAAGCTATGAATGATTCAAATATTTTATATTGCGGGTTTTTGGATATTTCAAGTGATGATAAATAAGAAATTTGTTCACTTAGTTCCTTTTCATTTGTCCAATTTACTAAATGGAATGCACAATTTAACAGTAAATCTTTGTTGTTTTCATCCTTTGCTAAATCATAAAGAATATCCCATTGTTGCAATTTTTCTGCACATAATATCCAACGATCTTCCCATAATATGTATTCAGTTTCAGAACATATTGATCCTGAAGTATTTGATTTATTTAATGCGTTTTCATATTCTATCTGTGCTTGTAACCAATTTCCATTTTGTTCATATGAAATTGCAATATTGGTTTCAAGATATTTACAATGCCTCTTCCATAGACCATAAAACATATCATCTTCCGATAAACTGGAATAAATATCAGCCAAGGCATCTATAGTAAGCTCTTTGAATCTTTCATCATCTTTATCCTTTTCAGACGTTGCATTTTGCAAAATTGCCATTGCAATATGCCAAGCCCCATGTAATTTACCAAGGTATTTAATCAAGTGTGGCGGCAATTTCAGAACAGGTGAGCAATGTGATATTCCATCTAATATTGCTTGTATACAATTTGGTTGGAAATCTTTTTGAACATCATGATAATCTTCTGATAAAAGTGTCACTAATTTGTTGGTTAAATCTTGTCTTTCTTTATTGTTTATAGCTGACCAACAAATTGGGAAAAGATGGACCCATAAATCATATGCTATTTTATTGTCTAATTGGTGGAGCTGTTTTAAAGGTGATAATAGATCTCCAACACATAATTTTTTAACTTCAAATAAAAATTCCCTGTGTTTTTGCAGAAAATCCTCAAATTTTTGATCAATGCTTTCTGAAGAATCTGTAAAAGATGATAAATCACCTAGTGTTGCGATTGATTTGATTTGTAAATTGTGTGTCATTTGAATACTTTTTTTATGAGAAATTGCGCCGATTAAAAGATCCAAGGCTTGATGTATCCAGAAATAATCACCAAGTAATTCCCAATTTTGCTTATCAAGAATATAATGAAGCCGTGGTGGTAAAACTTTAGATAAGCTATGATCAAAGATCTCCATAAATTGATTACGAATTTTGGAATGTTTATAACAAGTTCCCATTAAAAAAGCCTTTTCTAATCTAACTGACAATTCACTCCTTGAAAATAAAGGATCGCTATATATTTTAATAACAAGTTCAAATACATTTTCAATCAAACTATTATCTTCCAATTTTTCATAGCACAACATGCTAACTAATAATTTTGTCTTTTCTTCCATAGTAGGCAATAATTCTTTGTTTAATATCCATTGTTTCACCATGTTAAAAATAGTTTTTGCCAGTTCAATATCTTTTGAGTTTTCAATTAATTGTAAAAGAGATGCAGTAAAACTTTGTCTCATTTCATTGAGTTCTGTTATTCTTAAATTGGCTAAATTTAATGCAATTATAAGCACATTGATATAAGTGTCTAAGGATTGTTGATTAGTTATTAATTTATTAGTAGGACTTGTTTCTTGCGGAATTATTCTTTTTATAAGTGTTTGTATTGAATTAATTATTCCATTTAGAAAAGGATCGATGTTTTTTGGTATAGTACAACTGATAGCCTTTAATAACATCATTGCTTGATATAAATTGTTGGGATCTTGAATAGCGTCTTGTATTGTATTATTAACTAATTGAGTAAAGGATCCTATTTCTGCATCTGGTGTAGAAGTGTTTGTTATAATTTCAATGGTTGTGTTAGTACTACTAGTAGCTTTGGTTGTAGTTGTTTCCATCGCTGATGGTGTTGATGTTGATGCAGGTACTATGTTTGTAATGTTTGTTTTAGTTGTAGCAGTCATAGTTTGTTCAGATTGTTGAGCTAATTCGTCTTCAACAAGAGGTGGAGTTATAGCTTTATATATGTGAATTAAAACAGGATTAAGACATCTTTGAATACACATAATATTACTTATAATACTACGTTCAAGTAATGGTTGTAGATGAACTAAATTTATACGACAATATTCCGAGGGTTTCTTTTCCAAAATAACATTTAAAGCTTCTAAGTTATTACAAATACAGTCTATATTATTGCTAACTTCATTAAATTTCAATGCACGTTCAAAAGAATTCAATTTCACATTAACTTCAGGCCAGAACTCGGGCTGTAAAAGTTCCTTAATTAGATCAAGAGCTCTGTGTGCTAATAAATTTTTACTAATAGGGTCACTGGAAGCAGACACAAATCTGACAAGATAATTGACAACGTTTTCGCGTAAATAATTGTTGGGAATGTAATTTGTATTGTATTCAGATAAATTCCTTGATTCTGAAAAACCATATTCTAGATTTTGTCGTTTTTTTGGTGAAAACTCAGTTTCTAACTCTATGCGTCGCTTTCCAGGGCTCGCAGTAGGAGTAGATGATGCTGGGCTACTAATGTTTTGTTCATTCATATTATTTTCATTGAGGCGACAACGTTCCCATTTGAGAATCAACTCAGCAAGATCTATTGTTAATAATCTGGTTTCAGGTGTTGCATTTTGCAGTAATCCTAACCTGGTTAATGTGTTGGCAATTTGTGGCATAAAATGTTCTCTGTATTCATAAAATAAATCAGGGTGTCTAACAAGTAACTGATAAACATTAATTAGTTGAGTCAGACCATATCCATCTTCCAAAAGAATCCTTTTTGTATACACAATCCAATTTGGTGGCGATTTCTTTTTTGAGTCTTTTTTTGATTCATCAAATGACTGTGATTGAGGTGAGATATTAAATTTAGGTGCAAGCATATCCAATGCTTGTTTTACCAGCACCCTTGCCTCTACTTGGTGAGCTTTTAATAGTGCTGTATAAGATTGAAATAGCATTTTTAAATTAACCTGGTCAAATTCAGCAAAACATGCAGCTAGAAACACAAATGCTGAATGTTTTGCTGTAATATCATCAACTCTTGACCAATTCCATCCAAATTTAACAAGTGGACTACGTGTAGTTATGAGATTTGGTACACTTTTAACAATAACTGTTGAAAATTGAAGAACTTCTATGCGTAAGGAATCCTCTATTTCATCATGGTTATCTGCCAGATAATGCCATAAAGATTGAATTTTATCCATTTGAGTAGTATCAATAATTTTTCCATGCTCCTGGTAGGTGTTAGAGACAGAAAGGCTTAAATTGTTTGACTCACAGTGTTTGGCAAAATCATATAATAACATTGGTGTAATTATTATCTTTAGTGATAGTGTTTTAATGTTAGGTGGAATATTTGGATCAGAAAATGTGTCTAGGAACTTTTTGAGGATTGCTTGCTTTTGTGTAACTGGATATTTTTTGGCAACTTCTTCATGATAAAATCTTTTTAAAAATGTATAATCAATAATATTTTTATTTGAGAAAATAGAAACAAATTCAAAAAGCAAATCGATATCTTCTGGCTTTTCTTTCAAATAAACACAGAAAATCTCTAATAAATATTTAGATTCATGCATTTGTTTTAAGTTTAAAGTACTTTCATTTTTTAGTCTATTGATGCGGCCTTGATCCCTCCAAGCTTCTTTTAAAAATATCAGGACAGGGGTTGATGAAATTTCTGATAACCATTTTGGATCAAATTTGATAATCTGTCTAATAATCAAAATTGTTCTGATTAAAGTATCAACATAATTACTTGCATCTGAATGTTGAATACTTGAAACCTTTTCTATCAATTTTACTGGATTGTTCTTTATTTCCTCTCTAAGTTTTAAAGCCTCCTCAGTACCCAATATGTTGATGAACAATTGACTATACTGATAATCCTTAATTTTATTATAAAAGTACTCAACAGATTCTGTGGGGTATCTATTTAAAAATTTTGTAAGAGGTAAACGAAAAGGGCTTGATATGGAACGACATGATTTTTCTTCTAAATTTAAAACCATAGGTACCAAGTTTTCCAAAAAACTATTTGCAGATGAAGGTAGTAGATGGAATATATTTAAGATTGCAACAATAACTTTAATATTTTCATTTTCAGTGAGTGACTTTCCTGCGGTGGATGCTAAAAAATTTGAATCAGCCCATTGTTGGAGATGATCTAACAATTTTTTGCCTATCTCTGGTTTAAAATAACTTTTAAGCAATTCCAATAATCTTGCTAAGCAATCTAATGCAGACACTGTTAATTTTTTAGGATCCGAAAAATTAATTAAAATTGGTCTAACTCCCAATTGTAAAAGATCTTTAGACAGTTTGTGTTGCTGTTGAATGACTTGTTGAAGAGCCTTTGTTCCTACTTCAATAATCTCTGGAACATTCATATGTAATGTTTTGAAAAAAATACCAATAATATGTGGTCTAGTAACATTTGGATTATTTCCAGAAAATAATTCATCAGGCAAAGTCATTGCTGCTTTCAATAATTTCAAACAGACAATACGAAGTTTATTCAAGACAGATGGATTCTTATATAATGAATTACGACTCAATAAAGCCTGATCATCTTCAACATCAACTAAAAACACCACTTCACCAAGTATCCTTGTAAGATCTTCGTAATATTGAGATGTTAAGAATTGTGGCTGCAGTGTTAAACAATAGGTAATAGCATCAATACGACCTATTTGCATTGAAACTGGTAAAGCTCTAAGAGGTTGACCAAACATTAAATTAATTAAAATGTCTTTAGCTTGGGAAAGTAAACAGGTAATAGTCCTTTGAGTCAATTCACTTAAAAGTTTAAATGCTGAATGTATTGTTTCTCTTACAGACTCATTTACATTGCATAATTCTGAAGTTAATGTGATTATAAGCTTATCAAACTTGATTTTTTTATCATTAGAATCTTGAATTTCAACATCACTATCAATTGATGATGAATTTTGTTGGTTACAAATCTCAATAATACGTAAGAGAATTTGTGGTACATCCTCAATATTTCCAGCTGCAAATTCAGGAGAAATATCTTTCAATACAAAAAGAAGAGCTTTAACGAATTCTATCTCATGATCTAACATCCATTTAATGCCCATATTAAGTTGAGAACTTATTATAGATATGCCTAAACAACCACCACTTTTATAAAACCATTCTTGTTGGTAACAGCATGAACAAAATCTTGAAGCTAGGAAAAAGAAGAAAGGACAATGGCTAATTATTTGTTTTGATCCAGAAATTAATAAACAAGCTTCATAAATAATTGTTATAGCTGAACTTGCCAAACTACGTAATTTAAGATTTTCAGATGTAATGGTTTCAATTAAAGCCTCTAACATTGCCTTGGTCTCAAAACTGTATCTTTTATCATCAACATTAAAATTAAATCTTTCCTTTTTTGCTTTATTGAATTCAATTAATTCACCAATCTCTAAAAATGCAAAATGCCGACAAATATTTTGTAAGAATGGCCATGAATATTCTTTAAGTTCAGACAAAGATGAGGCAAAAAATAAAGCACATAAAACATTTTTCAATGTCTCCTCTTGTACGGCTTTCTTTTTTGAAATATTCTTTTCGCCATCTTTATTAGTTTTGCTTTTAATTAATTGTTGACTTGGTAAAATTTGAATATCATTAGGTGTCTCTATATCTAGATCCATTTTTTCATCACTTAGGCTTTTATTATTTTTTGATTCTATATTAATGGTTGGAAAAATTACTTTATGTAGACGTGCCCTGATTAATTTCCCTATGTCTTCGCTACCTTCATCTAAATCAAAAAATAGTGGAATTAATGAAACAATAAATTTATATGCATGTATTTTATAAAAATTAGAAGCATTGGGATCTTGTAAAATATTTCCAGCAAGTTTTAGATATTCGTCTAGTTGAATTGAGTATGAAGCAGAACTTGAATTGAAAAAAATTTGCAGATCAAGAGTGCTTAGTAAAGAATAATTTGTATTAAGTTTTGGTGGATCTTTTAACATACGGCGATTTCGACCTCCAAGTTTACCCAAGATTTGCATGGCTGAATAGCTATATTTTTGATCATAAGGTGGTGGTTTAAGATGTCTCCAAAGTGCATGCATCAATTCATTAATTACTGGTGCTAATATAGGATCTAAGAAGTCTGGGGTTAAATTATCAATACAAAGTTCTAAAGTACGAAGCCCCTGACTAACTAAATCTGGACCTGCTTTTAATGCTAAAACCAGAGGTTTCATCAAATAATTAAGATATGGGAGGAGTGAACTCAAACGAACAGGAACTGTAAGACAAAGCTCAACAAACAAGTTTTGCATTTGTTGCTTTTGTGTTAACGTTAAAAATTTGTTTAATCCTTCTAGTAGCATTGGTAACAATGGAGAAATTTCCCTGTACAAAATTTCATACTTGCCAGCTGCAAGGCACCTAAAAAGTGTTTTTAAAAGAATAAAATAATTAATTGGTTCTTTAGCCTTTGCAGAAAATTTCATAGATGATGTGATAATGTTTGCAACATGTGGTTGAAGAACTGCTTCATTATGATTAGGAAACTGGGTAAGCGGTTGGAAAATTGATTTGAATAGCCTAAGCATAACTGAAGAATATATTGTATCTGTTCCTCCAAGTTTGTCCAACCTATCCACTAAAAATCGCAATAAAATTCCGGAGAAACTAAGAGATATGATATCATTGGTTGTTAGAAAACAATGAGAAATTTGAAGTAATGAATGGTTTTGTAACATCTGTTCAAAAAAAAAGTCCATTTGTGATGAAAAAATCTCTTGAAATATTATTGGGTCAACAATAACAAAAGCCAATCCAAAATGATCCAATGCTTCTTTTTCCAATTTAGTAATTCTATTTGCAGATTCAATTGTTAACAATTTTTCAGAAAGTTTTGCTTGAGACATATTATCAAGATTGTCAACATTAAAGTAGTCAAAACAACGAATTCCTTCTCTAAATAGTTGAATAAAGATTTCAACTTGTTCTTGAGTGACTCCAAGTGTTAAAGAGTTAATTTTTTGCATAGTTATACTATTGTTACATTGTTTTAACCAATGAATAAGAGGTTTAATACCTGCCACAAGAGTCCTAAATAAAACACGGCCATCTATTTATTAATAAATATATTGATATCAATAAGTAATATAGAATTCAAATATTTAATTAATATATATATTGGATAAAATTTCTCTTCACCATTAAGAAGATCTATTTGAATTTCACTGGTCATATTTGAATGAATTGGTTGTGCTTGCTCAAAATCAAAATCATCAGTATTGGTTAATAAATTATTGGTTGTTAGTTGACTATTTATGCTATTATCAATGTTATTGTTATTATTAATTGTTTTCTTTTTTTGATACTGACGAAGAATAGTAGGAAATAAGATGTTTAAATTCTCAAATTTATTTGCAAAAGTATCTAATGTTTTAATAAGTATATCTCGAACTTTTATTATAAAATAATTTCGATCAATAAAATAATATAAATAAAAAGATTATATATATGTATTAATATTATTTTACCATCAAAATGTTCATCTCTGTGAGAATTATTTAAAATGGATTCTATTAAATGTATTAATAATTTTGCACACATTGTTTGAATATTTGGTGTGAAAGTTGGATCATGCAAAATGCATGAATATATATACACAATCTTTGAAAGTTGTTGAAGTGTAAGTTTATCTCGGATGTGGTGAAGTAAATCTGCCAACATGCTATATGCCAGAGGTCTATAATGACAATAATAATATTATTAATAATAAAAGTTTATGCCATGATTCTAATAATGATGATGATGATAAAAATAAAAATAAAAATAAGTTACTTTAATGTATCAAAAACTGTAACCCCAGTACCAATAAGTACTTTTTCATTCAAAAGAATATCTAATTTATTAATAAAACCATTACGAAACTCTGTTGAAAGAATATGTCGTGTAGCTACCAAGAGCTCCTATAAATTTATTATATTTTGTCAATTATGGAAAAATACCAAGTCATCAAATATACAAATAAAGAAAATCTCGGTGCACTACTTTTCTAGTAGCTGATGCTTCTGTAGGACAATCATGAAGAAGACGAATTATAAATTCTGGAACTTGATCTTGGTAACGAGATAATGCTGTAGTATAAGCTCTCAAAACATATGCCAAAAAAGCCAATGTCTAATTAAATAATATTTGAAAATGTATTACTATTAAAAAGAAACTTTTTTGAATGATTTATAAATTAAATAAAATATAGTGGCTATTGTGTTGTAAACCATACTTTAACTTGAGCAACAATAAATTCTGTATATTTCACTTTATCTCTTATCCCTGGAGCAACACCAACAAAAATTTCACCTCTAGCTTTTGCTGCTTCATGTGCCTCAGCTTGTGGTTGAGGTTGAAGACTTAATGTCTAGTTTTCAATATGAAATTGGCCAATGTAATAAAATAATTAATTGATAATATGTTTATTTAGTTAAATAAAAAAAGAGAATTATCAAGAATAATAAATAAGATAGATACTCTTATAATAAGTGGTAAAAAGCTTTGGATGTTTTCATTCACAACATTGCGATGTGATTGAAAAATTAGCACAACAATAATTGGACATTCTGTTAAAACCTTGAAACTGTGTAAACTATCGGCCAATACTTTATTTGGAGTAGATTCATTGGTTGTTACATCTGATACTGGAGATGAAGGACGTGGCGAAGGTGGGATAGGCATAGATGATTGCACCGGCTAGAAACATGTGATATTGTAAATAAAATAATCTTTTTTGAAAGGAACAATATATTTCTTAATTAAATAAAAAAAATTAAATCATATGTACCGTACTAGCACTAGGCGTTGCAACCGCAGTCCCAGGAGTATCAAAGGCATCCCTTACTGCTTTTTCCATATTTGCATACATTTCTTTTACAATATCTAAAAATGGTTGAACTTGATCTTCAAGTAAATTTTTATGACATCTATGCAATTCTATAATTATTTTTAAACATATCACAGCATTATCTTCATTTTCTTTTTTTAATAAATTCATTACAAGTTTCAATAAGTCGGGTGCAAAGGGTCTAAGTGATTCATTTTGTGGTAGCCTATGTAAAATTTCTAAATAAAGGTTGCGTAATTTCTAAAATAAAAAAAAAGCCAAAATCAACAAAAATAATGGAATGTTAAAAAAAGATTTTATGTAATTACTTGTTCTTCTGAGTTACTATCAAATACTGGTGGCTCGTTTTGAAGAATATTGTTTAAAACTGGCATTAAATAATGTAAAAAACGAGGATAATCTGAATTTTGATACATTTCAACAGAATCTCTCAAATTTGTAGCAATTGTCAACTTGGTTTTGAAATCTTTGATTTAAATAGAGAGGGAAAACAAAATTAAGATTTAGTTTGAACTTGGACCAAAACGGTAAAAGAATTAATTAGTTTTTTTACAAACTTATTTTTGGATCCATTAGCCTTGAGGCATATAGATCAGGTGAAGAAAATTCATGGCTGGACATGTTTTAAAGAATGTCGAATTCTATCTTGAAGTTAAATCGTTAATTTTTTTGTTATTATTAATAAGAAAAAAGAATTCAAATAAAAACAATTATAGAAGACACGTATATTTATTATATATTTTTTTATTTCATAAAATTTAAAAAATATTGGGGATTCCATCATTCAAACACGTGACCATTGGCCAACGTGTAACCCTCCAAATGCACTTATGGAGGGTACAACTCTATGCTCAGGCTTAAACATCAAACCACCCACCCGATTCTGAACAGAAAATAGTTTGGACTGGACTGTTGCTAATGATAGCAAAGATTGCTTGCAAATGATCTACAGTGCATATGTTCTAGACGTGCATAAAATTAAAATTTTTCACACAACTCTGGATCGTATGTACGGAAGTGGAAAGTGAAATGCTTAATTATGACATTATAAGGTTGGAAGCATTCATCCAAAGCAAAATGGATGAGTCTTCATCAGAAGGTTTACTGTGCTAAACCATGTAGACAAATAGCTGACCATGGTGCTACAAAAGTGTTATCATTGGGATTAGCTCATAAGTCTCTTTTCAATTTTATTTAAGCTGTTATTCATTTAAGCAGGGTGAGGACAGATGGCAGCTTTAGACCATCACATTAAATGGGATGCTGGAAAAGGATGGGGGACAGGCAAGTGTGGCTTGAACCCGTCCCCCGTCCTTTTCAAGTTTGGCCCATTAATACTAGAAAAGGACGGGCAATGGTACGGGTGTTCTTCAAAAAAAGGACGGGAAATTACGAGGGACGGCGTGGCGCGGTCAAGGTACAGCATCCCGTCCCTGTCCTTTTCTATTATTCATGGAGAAGGACGGGTTACTGTGCCATTACCACTTTGACCTGCTGTTTTTTTTTATTCGTGGATGAAAGCTGTTTGTCATAAATATAATTTTTAGTAAACAGACCGCAAAATAATATCCCATCTCCATTTATTTCTTATTTAAAATCTTGATTTTTATTTTTTATTTATAATGGACAAGACAAAACTTGTGTAAAAATAAAATCATAAATAAGTTAATTGGGGCATGCTGCAACAAAACCAGACAAAGTGAACATTGGTATCACTAAGAATTTCAGGGATCAAAATTTAGTCATTGTAATGTGATTATAATTATCAGTTTTATAATATCCATTTGTGATATATAGAATTATCCCTATATAAAAATAATTAATATGAAACTCATTTACATCAGATCTACTATGGAACCCAAGAATTATAGTACTATCAGAAGTACACTTACTGGACAAAAGTATATTACTTAAACATCTTAGAGATTATTTTATAAATTTAATTCTAAAAGTTAGAATCAGAAGGACAATTGATGATTATGATTATGATGATTATCCAAAAGTAAAAGTATTAATATGATAATAACAGATAAATAATAATAATATATATATTAACGAGTTTATTTCTTTAAAAAATATCAAAGGTGTACCATATTCTGTGTGATTAATTTCTCAAATAAATCACCACCCTTGGTATTTATTCAAGTATAAAAATAAAGTGTTCTAGCTATAACCTTCCCCCAAGTATTGGAACATCTAAACACTAATAATTAGATAAAAAACTACTTATTCTAATAACTTTTTTAGTTAGAATTTTCTGATATTTGCAGAGGTGATGTGAATTGTTTGTGTCTTCGTTTAAAATCAGTACAAATATCAATTAGTTGCTCCTATGTTAAAGGGAAAAGATATTTTACCATAAGCTTTAAAAAATAAAAAATTATGGTAAAAAATGATATATACTTTGAGTGCCAGAAAATGGGTGATATTTGATTCAATTAAAGGCATAGAAGCCCTATCCATTACTAGGTTAGTTTTTGAAAAGCACCATGAACAATATATCTTGTGACAGTTTAATTCCATGATATAAGATTCAACGATGTTTCCTAGTTTATACAAATAATGTCCACATTAAAAAACATGGAATAAAAATGATGGCAGTATATTATATAATTACCCATGTTAAGAAGAATGATCGCTTTCAGAGGCCCTCCTTTTTTCTTTAATAGATCATTTATTGATCTTTTGGCGTTAGTGTGTGCTTTTACTATATCCTTGTTCTTTTGGAGTGATGTATGTCCAATGGGTTTGATTTCAGTATTTAACACAGCGATTTCGTCAACTAAGCATGTAAAATCAGGCCTTTCCTTGTTTTCATATGTTGATTTGTTAAGCACGATGGTATAATCTTCTGGTGGAACAAAAATAGGTCTTATTATTGGATGTAAAAACATAAAGCTGTGCAAATCTTCGGTTGATTTTGCAGATTCAACAGGTAAGTTACGTCTAAAATATATCAAACAAATTAATTAATTGATTATGCATTTTAACTTTCTTTCCAGAGTGCTGATAAAAAGTAAATCATATTTTAACTCACAATCCATTGAAGACACTACAACTAATAGCGCTTAACTCATTATCATTTGCAGTCATAAAAATATTATCACCAAATACTGTTTTAAGGGCAGCTGCATTTAAAGCTATTGAAATATCACTTGGTAATGTATAATTAATTCTGTGTTGATTTGAATCTAGTATTTTTTTCCATTCATTAGATGTAAATTCAGGATATGGACAAGGATCCTTAATTACCATTATTGATGCTAGTGCCCTAATACAATTACAAAGATAAATCCAGTGAGAAAAACATCACAAAAAATGGATAGCAAATTATACATATTCAAAGTTTTTATAAAATAATCTCTCTCTTCTGTCAAAATACTTGCAATTTTTCATAAACATCATTTTGTCTTAATTTGGATTCTCTTGTTTTTTGAATCGAATGCTTTTGAAAACTTTGAAATTTTTTTGTAATGTTTACTTCTTCTATAATCCACTAAAAAGTATAATAACTTAATGGTAAAATGAAAACAAAGAAAATGATAATCAGAGTTTGATTTAATACATACTTCATTTAATGGCCCATC